TCTATGTGTCTAATAAACGTGTTTCACAAAGTATTTATTAAACGCATCATTAACCGTTATAGACTGAAAACCGCGATAAGGGTAGTGTAATAATAGTAGTACAGATAAGAAATTTCTTTATTTGTGGGCTTTTTCACGAGAGTCGCTGAAAATTAAGTAAGTAGTGTGCTATTTATCATACTCAATACGCCGTAGACCACTTCACGTAATCTACATTTACTGATTTACTAAACCAAAATAGCGCACTTCTAATGGGGCTTAGTTACAAATATGTCTAACGATATCTTCAATATAAATTAATTTTCGCCCAATCAAAGTCAATGACCTTGGTCAATGTTTATCTGTAGATTACGTTTGTGTGGTATAGTAAATTATGCATATATTTTGTATTTTAAAATAAATTGAGAATATGTGAATAAATATATATCAGATAATAAACAAAAACAACAAGATTACAGGAAAATTTTTGCTGACTTAAGTTTTATTTCTTACTTTTAATACAAGCTGAAAATAATTCTTTCTTTTTTTTTAAGTTTTTGCTTAAACTTTGATAAAAGTTTAAAAGGATTATTTATTTTTGAAGATACTAAAAATTTGCCTGAACTTTAATGGAATATAACCTCAAATGGAGTGCAAAAGGTCTTCGAACTGAAACTTGAACCTTATAATTGAATGACTTGGCAAAATATTTGTCTAGTCCTAGCTCTAACTTAAAGCTCGCTTAAATCCATAGTTTAACCTAGTGGCCCACACAACAATATCTATTCACACGTTGTGGATTTCAACTCTGAGCCCCTGCGAGGGAAATGCGCAATTTATGAGGCAGCTCACTTAACATGGTCAGGACAAAAMCAGCAACAACAACAAACAAACAAACAAGAAGACAACAACAAATAACAGGAAAGGATAGAAAAGGAATGGAAGAAGCGAACAGTACCAAAAGCTGTTTATGTGTTTCGAACGTGTTTGGCTTCCATGACATTTACCGTAACACGCAGCTCGTCCATTTGTAACATACACACACATAGACACACACACCCATACCTAAATTCGTACATGTGTAAAAGTTAATATGTATCTATGAGACCAACAGGAATGCAGCCCAAATTAAGATGTGGCCTATGCTAAATAATCATTGTTTGCTGTTAAAAAAAAAAAAAGTGAATAAAAGTAAACAAGAAAATGTGATGTGAGGCTCAGAAAATGAGCTGGGTTAAGCCGCTTTAAGGCCGTAGCCTGCCAAGCCCGATAACACACACAGAAAACAGTAATTAGAGAGCGAGTCTAACAAGTGTGGCCACAAAAATATTTCATGAATAATTAAACAGCAAATTAAGCATTATCAAGTTGCCCAGCAGCCGAGCAGCAACCATAAAGCAATAAAAAGGCTTTAATTGCTAGTGAACGACGTGTGAATACCCTGTGTTTTGTTGTGGCAAATTCGTTTAGTTAGCTGAATAGATCGACTTGAACTTTCTAATTTACTTATTACTTATT